AAGAACCTGACCTGCGAAGATGACCCAATGGTGAGTGATCCCATCATACCTTTTACAGTCAAGGTCAAGTTAGTGGTACCAAACACGGGGGAGGCCAGGGAGTTAGAAGCTGTCATCGATACTGGGTGTTCTAGATGTCTTATTGGACTCCCCATAGTTGAACAATTAGGCATAAAGACTAAACCGCTAAAACACCCAATCAGATTTGAGCAAGTGGATGGAACCTTAATTGGGGGGAGCAGCCACTCAAATGACAGACTTGATCAAGATGGAATTAGAGCCCCATCGCAAACTCGTACGCTTCATAGTGGCCCCCAAGATGTCAGAATCAATCATACTGAGACTTGCTTGGCTAGACAAATGGGCCCCGATGATCAAATGGGAGGATGGATTCAGAAAAATCCTCATTTGATGGGTCCATTGCCCCCTCTTCCACCCACTACAAAGCCACCGGTCAGCTTGAACCCAGAGCCTGAGCCAGCATCCATGGCATCCCACCTTCTCCTAGATAACCCCCCAGGTATCTGACCAATGCAAAGACTTGGCTGAAGCATTCAGTGAAGAAGAATGTAATGTTTTACCTCCTCATCGAGCCACTGATTGCTCCATAGAATTAGAGCCCAGGGCGAAATTACCAAAACTAAAGATGTATTCCATGACGCCTGCTGAAATGACTGAATTAAAGAAATACATTGACAGCAATTTGGAACAAGGGTTTATTGAGCCTGCCAAATCAAGATTAGCTGCTCCCGTGTTGTTCAAGGAGAAGAAAGATTGAGATTTCAAGGTTGAGATTGTGTGTTGACTTTTGAGGCGTGAAAGCCATATGCGTCAAAAACATATATCCTCTCCCCCTTATGAAGGACTTATTGAACCACCTGTCGAAGGGCAAGGTATTCACCAAGCTAGATCTCAGGGAAGCTTACTACCAGGTCCGCATCAAAGAGATGAGTGGAAAACTACTTTTAACTACCCTCTGGGTAGCTTCCAATTCAAAGTCATGCCTTTCAGACTTCAGGGAGCTCCTGCAGTGTTTATACAGCTCACCAATGAGGTGCTACACCCGCACCTTTACTGGGGGGGTCCTCGTGTACCTGAATGACATCCTTATCTTCAGTCAAACCATGGAAGAACATGATCAATTGGTCCAACAAGTTCTAAAAAATCTTCTAGTCGCCAAATTATATGTGAAACTCTCAAAATGCGAATTTCACGAAGAGTCGCTGGACTACTTAGGCTACAGAATATCCAACCTGGGGATTGAAATGGACCCCAGAAAGGTGAAAGCAGTCCTGGACTGGCAACCCCCCAGAACCTGAAAACAACTTCAAAGTTTCTTGGGGTTTTCCAACTTCTATAGACAATTAATTCCGTCCTTTGCTGAAGTTGCCCTCCCATTGACAAAGCTGTTAAAAACAGGCCTGTCACCCACCAAACCGAAGCCGAGTCAACCCCTGGCTTGGACTATGAACTGTCAGAAAGCTTTTGAAACCTTAAAACGCCTCTTGGCAGCTGAGCCCATCCTCCAGCACCCAGACGCAACCAAGCCTTTTATTGTCCAAAAAGATGCAAATGATGTAGCAGTGACAGCCATTTTGCTGCAAAAAGACTCTCAAGGCCAACTGAAATCTTGTGCTTAAGTGTCCAAAAAGCTGACAGACACAGAGCGAAAGTGGGCAGTCTGGGAGAAAGAAGCATTCGCTGTATTTTTTGACTTGGAGGCATTTATTGCCGCTTTATTGACTTGGAGGCATTTTCTAGAAGGGGCGCCAGAGACACTTCGAGACTCTAAAGACCCCTAGGAGATTATCGCCCAAACAAGTCTGCTGGGCCCAATATTTCAAGTGATTCAACTTCAGCATTAAATATATCCCCAGAGGGAAAAATGTACTGGCGGATGCTCTGTCCAGAAAACCTCAGTTTGACAGCCATCGAGAGGAAATAGTACAAGCCTTAATTTCAGAAGCTCAATCGGCAGGCCAAGTGACCACTCGAGCCCAAGCCAACTGCAACCCCAAACACCTGGAAGATAAGCTGACTACAGAATTGAAAACGGCCCTATTGGCTCCTTGGTTCCTGGACCATCAAACCGAGTTGACAATGAATGATGGACTAGCTTGGAAAGGGACTAAGCTTTATGTACCCACAACCCTAAGACTACTGGTACTAAAGCGTAGCCACGACTCCCAGCTGGGAGGCCACTTCAGATTCCTAAAAACCCTACATTTACTGAGAAGACAGTTCTGGTGGCCAAAAATGAAGCTTGATGTCGAGGACTATGTAAAAAGTTGCTCAATTTGTGCCGCAATGAAACACAGAACTGGAAAAACCCCTGGCCTCCTGCAACAAGTTGCTGAACCAACCCAACCTTGGGAAGAAATTGCAATGGACTTTATTGTGAAGGGACTATAATTTGGACTATAATTGACTTATTCTCTAAACAGGCCCATTTTATAGCCTGCAAAGGACTTCCATCTGCGAAAAAACTTGCAAAGCGGTTCGTGAAACACATCTATAGACTACATGGAGTACCTCATAGAATAATATCAGACAGAGGGGTACAATTTACCGCAAAATTTTGGAGGGAATTTCTGAAATCCATTGGTTCCTCTCAAGAGTTATCCTCAGCTTTCCATCCTGCTTGTAACGGAGCAGCGGAGAGGGCTAACGCCATGATTGAACAATACATTAGATGCTATGTAAATTATCAACAAGAAAATTGGGCTGAGTTATTACCTTTTGCAGAGGTTGCTTACAATAATGCAGTACATGGCAGCACGGGATTGACTCCATTCCAAATCAACACTGGAATGGATTTTGTCCTGATGCCAGAGTTACCTGCCTCATCCATGTCCCTAACAGAATGGATGAACTCATTAAAGAAAGGATGGGAAGATACAAAAAAAGCTTTGACTGAAGCTGCAAAAAATTATAAAAAACAGGCGGATAAACATAGATCTTGACATTTCAGTTCTACTTTATGAAAAAAAATCTGCTTTGCATAACAGATTCAGTGAACTCCAGCATGGGCATTTGTTGACCCCAGTTGCTGTCTATCCCACTTTGTAATCAAGCTTTCTGAACATGATCTACCTGGGATGAGATTGTTATGAGGACTTAATAGCTCTGAATAAAGATTCCATCCTAGATCAGTTTACCTAGGTAAAAAAAAATCCCACGAACTCCCTTCATGATTTGTTGCTATAGTTGTAAAAAGAAACTGGTTTTTTTTAATGATAACCTTAAAGACCTAAAAAGTTTAATTAGCTATCAGGCTTCAACACTGCCATTATTTAAGAGTTACAGTAGCCATACACATTTATCTATTTTGGGGACTTCCCATTGGGCTTATCACTATTCCTTGAGTGTATATCAGATGCATAAGCTACATGCATCTTTGTTGAAAATTAAATGCACGCATACCTTTGAGGAGTAACCAGGCAGCCTTAGGCCAGGCTGACTGTAACCTAGGGCTTTAGTAGAAATTGTTGGTTTGTCCACATGTATTGCTGTTATTCTCAGTACTGGATGGGATTTTGCATTTCCCCCTTAGGTTCAAGCCATTCAGCTGTTATTCATAGTTCAAGAACTTTTCCTGCTTTTGCATATAACATCCAGCACTTGCTTGATCTTGTAGCAGTCACAACTAGCATATTTCTATTCAAAACCTCAAATTTTCCAGGCACCTCATCAGCCCCTATTTTACTGTCTTGATCTTCTGTACATGCCAAGTGAACAAGTACTCCATCATGATTCAAATGTTGTCACCCAGTGATATGGAGGATTCGCATAAATTCTGCTCAAACATGGAAATATAAATTTTACAGTAGCAAGAAAAGCTTCCACAAGTCAGTTTTATGCAAAGCAGTAAAAATGTGTTATTTGACATTTGCAGAATCCAATCAATTAAATGCGGGGTCAATTTTGTTGCAAGCTGTCTTCTTTCTTATGTCGTTATAGTTTTAAAGCTTAGTTGTTATAACACTTCACCTGCCTGTGGATGCTTTTCATCTATTTTTTTATTATTCAACAATGAAACATTTCCTCAAAGTATTTTGAACTTTCTTTCTTTTTATTTTTGTGCTTGTTTTTTGTTGTCAATTTTGTTAATCGTTACCTCACTGCTGACCAAATTATTTGAACAATTGGAAATGTTGTACTTCTAGTTGCTATTTACTTTTTAATCATCTCTCTCTCTCTCTCTCCCCCTCCCTCCCCCTCTCCCCCTCCCTCCCCCTCTCCCCCCTCTCTCTCTGCCTATTTCTGTAGATTTGTACAATACCTCCCCTTATAATGTTTAGCAAGGTGGTTAAGATAGCTTTTTTTTAAATACAGTGTTAAGACTATTAAGAATTAAGCCCATCACTTACTAGTGAGCTTGTTAGTCAGTCATTAGTGTGATGCACAATGATCATAAAGAAAGATAAGGAAGTTACTTATTTGTAATTGATATCCCACAAATGGTTATTTATGCATCCAAACTCTCTTACCTCCTGCAAATTTTGGTAGTAAATATTCCTAATCATCAAGGACTGCTGGGACACTCTTGGGAACTGAGAGTAGCAATGAGAGCCCCACCCAAGACAATCCACAGTAGAGATGTGCTTCTTACTTATGCCTTGTTTCTTACAAACTAAACAAATCATGCTGTCTTATGTGGAAACCTAGGCAAATAGCAGTGTGGGATTAACCATTGGCCAACAGGCTGAATAATTGATTGGCCACACCCACACAGTCACATGACCACCCAGCCATACCCACACAGTCACATGACCACCTAGCCACACCCACAGAACCAGTTTAAAAATTTGAATCCTACCACTGGTTGCACCATCCCACTCTTGGCTCAGGCACCAAAAAAATAAGGTATCATTGCCATCAATTGGTTGGTCATATAAAGTTTTGCAAGCCAAATACAACAGTCCCACATTAAAGATTATCACAAACACATTGTATAGATGCTTTTCATAATTAAACCAGTTGATTATCTTCCTACACAGCCAGCACAATGTGGTTTAGATCTCCGGCATGTTACAGTGATTGAATTGGTTGGGGTTTATCCAGCACAACTGGGAAGAATAGGATTAAGACTGATGTCTCCTGCCTTGGCTGTACAACTCAGGTAAATTATATAGGCTCTAATTGTAAGGAAAAATTTCCTCTGGCTGTTTGTCTTTAATGTCTTGATTAGATTTTTAGAGCAGGCCTTTATGGAATGAGATTTTTTTATACAAGAGGAGTCCTAAATAGAACATCTTGTTTAAACTTGATAAATAAATAAAATAAAATGTAATGATCCCCATGTTATATTAAAATTAACATGTTCTTTAAAATATATTTGATGCTTCATTAATTTGTGATAAATTGTTACCGTATTTGCCGGCGTATAAGACGACTTTTTTGCCCTGAAAAACATGCCTCCAATTGGGGGGGTCGTCTTATACGCCGGGTCATCTTATACGCCGGCAAATAGTAATTGGGAAGCACTGCGGCTGCCCGTGGCTGAGGCACTTTTGCGCACCGTGGAAACGAATCCCGTGAAGCCGAAAGGAGCAGCCAGCCTTCTCCCAGCTCCCAAGGAAACGAGGCTCACACCGCCCAAGCTCCGCTGAGGTATCCGGCTGGGGCTGTCAGGAGTTGTTACCGCTGGCGCGGCTCCGCGCAGCTCCAGTCCCGCATTGCCACGGGAAGGGAAAGGCAAAACCAGGAGCCGCTGCTGCCATTGCAAAGCGCCACCGCGGCTCTTCCTTTTTGCCTTTCCCTTCCCGAGGCAACGCGGGACTGGAGCCGCGCGGAGCTGCGCCAGCGGTAACAACTCCTGACAGCCCCAGCTGGATACCTCAGCGGAGCTCGGGCGGTGCGAGCCTCATTTCCTTGGGAGCTGGGGGAAGGCTGGCTGCTCCTTTCGGCTTCATGGGATTCGTTTCCACGGTGCACAAAAGTGCCTCAAAAAAAAAAAAAGTGCAAAAGTGGAAGGCGTGCGGAAGAGGGGGCGAGTATATAACAAACTATATTTTGAGTGGAAATGTTGGGGGGTTGTCTTATACGCCGGGTCACCTTATACGCCGGCATATACGGTAATTCTCTTCATTGCACAGAGACTGGTTGCATGCTGAACTGCGCATAAGCATTTATCTCTCTTCCCTGCATTGCCAAGTAACTGTGTGAAATATAAAATGGTCTTAAGTTTGGGGTTCCCCCCCCACAATATTTAGTGCTGTAAATTGTTCACCTGATTGAATTTATTTTAGTTAAATGTCATATTTCAAGGTCATAATTTGAAAATTCTAACATTAAATCATAATGAAAATTCCTAATGAAAAGCAAACAGCTTCCTTAAACTGTAAAACATAATCATTTTTCCTATTTAATAGTACGGAGTTATATTTCAGCATAAGGGCAACACCAACTTGTTTTTTAAAATGTTCTTTGGCCTTTAGTTATAGAAGTATACAGCTATCCTGGTCATGCATACCAGTTAGAGTACCAGAGGTGTGGAGTACCTATGCAATGAAATGTTTCTAAAGCAAGAATAAAATGAGCATGCTTACTGTCTAAAGACAAGATGGAACTTTGTTATATTCATTGGAATTTTGAATGTTCTAGATATGCAAGGTATTTATTGCAGTACTAAGTACTTTAAATTTATCTCTCTGTTGGAGATTTTGGCCACAGCAATATGTGGTCAAAATGCAGTGTGAGGACTGGATTATCTTTGCTTGATATTTAACAATTATACTGGAAACAGGATTATTTTCCTTTTCAGATGTTGACTATTTATTGTATACTCTAAGGCAGTGGTCACCAGCCGGTGGGCCGCAGCCCACTGGTGGGCCATGAGAAAATTTTGGTGGGCTGCAGAGGAATCTCACCCCCAGAGCACCCCCCCCCAAAGCAATTAATCCAGGCTGCACAGAAACACAAGGCTGCGCCGTCCACATGGCCCGCGGGAACCCTCCGTGCCCACTCATTCCTTACCCGGCAAACTTGCCTGCTAAAATTGCTATTTTTCCTTTTTTCAACCATCATCTGTTCTGCTGTGCCTGGAGATTTAGATTAGCTAGGAAGCAGGAAATTGTTGGATTTCTTGCTTTCTAGCTAGTCTTTAGATCTTCGGCTCTGCTTTTAAGCACAGCCAAACCTTGCTTAGGGCTAAAGGTTCTATTATTCAGTGGAGATTCAAGGCAAGCAAATTTGAGAGACTGAGCTAGCCAATGGCAGATAGATAGATCACTGAATGATTCTGTGAGCAACTCAATCTGCCTGCCTGCTTTGCCTGATTTTGGGT